AAAAATTATAACAAATATGTTTAAAATTTATACGAATTTGGATAAATTCTATAACAAAAATTATGAAATAATAAAAAAAAAATTATAAAGAAAATTTTTTTAAAAATATATATTTTTTTATTTTTTTTTTAACAAAATATAAAGTTAAGCCAAGGAAAACTAAAACTTTAAGAAATATTGAAAAATATAAACTTTTTAAAGTTTTATAACTTTGTTAAAAAATTTTAAAAATTTGCTTGTTTTTTTTTTTTAACAAAATATAAGAAAATTAAACAGAAATTATAAAAATCTTGAAAAAATTCTAACATTTTAATAAATATTTAAAGAAAATACTAAAACAATCATAAAATATTAAAATTTTGAGGTTATGCAATTCCTTTCATAAGTTTTCTTTAAAAAAATCAAACAAAAAATTAAAAAAATCTTAAAGAAAATTTTAAAATTTTAATTAAGACTTAAAGAAAAAGAGTAATTAAACTTGAAATATTAAAATTTTTAGAAGTTTTCTTTGGGAAATTACATTATTTTTAAGATATTTTAACAAAATTAAAGAAAAATTTAAACAAAAATTATAAAATCTCTAAGGAACTATATAAAAACTTTAAAATAATTGCAAAAAACTTATAAAATATTAAAATTTTGACGTTTTAAAATAACTTATAAAAATAACTTTTCTTAAACAAATTTATAAAATTGTAGTTTATTTTAATAAAAAATAAAAAAAAATTGAAATTTATTAAAATTTCAAGTAAAATTGCAAAAATCATATTAAATATTAACATTTTTAAGGTTATGTTACATTTCTTAAAGAAATTTATAAAATTGTTGTTCATTGAAAAAGTTTATTAAAACTATAAGCAGAAAATGCAAAAATCAATAAAATATTAAAATTTTTGAGGTTATGTAACTTTTCTTAAACAAATTTATAAAATTGTAGTTCATTTCAATGAAAAATATAAAAAATTAAGCAAAAATCCTAAAAACTCAAAGAAATTAGAAAATTTTAATTAAAATTTTAAGCAAAAAAAAAATTTTAAATCATTTCAATGAAATATATAAAAAATTAAAGAAAAATTATAAAATGTCAAAGAAAATCTATAATTTGTATTAAAAACTTTAAGTAAAAATGCAAAATTTAAATAAAATATTAAAATTTTTGAGGTTATGTTACATTTCTAAAGAACTTTCTTAAAGAATTTTATAAAATTTGTTAAAATTTTTAAGGGAATTCAATAAAAATTAAGTAAATTAAACAAAAATTATAAAATTTAAAAGAAATTTTAAAATTTTTATGAATATTTTAAGCGAAAATTAAAAAATCAAATAAAATATTAAAATTTTTGTGGTTATGTAACTTTTTTTAAACATTTTTTAAACAAAATATAAGAACATCAAACAAAAATTATAAAATCTCCAAGAAATTCTAAAATTTTTATAAAAACTTTAAATAAAATGTAAAATTTAGATAAAATATTAAAATTTTTGGGGTTATGTTATATTTCTAAAAAACTTTCTTAAAGAATTTTATAAATTTTATCAATATTTTTAAAGGAATACAAAGAAAATTGAATAAATTAACAAAAATAAAAAAATTTCAAAGAAATTCTAAAAATTTTCTTTAAAACTTTAAGAAAAAATGCCAAAATCTTACAAAATATGAAAACTTTGAGGTTATGTAACTATTTTTAAGCATTTTCTTCAATAAATTTTGTAAATTTGTGGAATTTTAAACAAATTAAAACTTAAAATCTTTTAATCAAACATTAATTTTCATTTAAAGTAAATTTTTTTTTTAATAAAATAAAATTAAATGAAAAATTTTCTAAATTTTTGGGGTTAAAAAAACTTTCATCCTGAAAATTTCTCTTAAAAAAGTCTCTCAAAAGTCTCGCAAAGTTTCAATTTTCTTTTAAACTATCACTTTCGATCACTGGCGAGTAATGTGGTAGCGTTATTCGCGACATTCGTTTGTAGAATATTTTTAGTTCTTTAAACAATTTTAGTTTGAAAAAGTCTGCATTATTAGCGTTATATTCATTCACATTCGTTCTATAGAATCGTTTTTAGTTCTTTAGCGATTCTTGTTTCTAGTTAGTATTGGAACTAGTTCCAGATAAGTTTAAGTTTACAAATACAACATCTTGGCAACAGTTTGAGAACTAGTTGTGAAAGAAATTCATTTCATTTGGTATCGGAACTAGTTCTAGTGCTTTCAAGGTTACAGTTTAGGAGTATGAACCACTTCCAAGAAGTTGTTTATTTTGCTTTACTATAATCAAAGAACTAGTTCCTCGAAAACTCTTCAGTAGTACTTTCGAATTACAATAATGTTCTGCAGAATGAATTCTAAAAGTAGTTAAGAGAACTAAGACAACAGTTCTAGAACTAGTTGTGAAAGAAATTCATTTAATTTTGTATCAGAACTAGTTCTAGTTCCTGGAAAACTCTTGAGAAGTGCTTTTGAAGCATCAGAATGTTTCGCAGAAGGAGTTTTAGAAGTTATAAATAACCTTGTACTTTCAAGTTTACAGTTTAGTAGTATGAATCGCTTCTAAGAAGTTTATTTGGCTTTATTAGAACCAAAGAACTAGTCCTTGAAAACTCTCGATAAATACTTTACAATAGCAATAAAGTTTCAAAGAACGAATTCTAATAGTTATTATGTTCTATAGAATCGTTAGAAGTTCTTTAACGATTTTTGTTTGTAATTAGTAGCGGTAGTAGTTCCAAGTAAGTTTAAGTGAACTAAGAACTAGTTCTGAAAGAAATTTTTATAATTTTGTATCGGAACTAGTTCTAGTTCCTGGAAAACTCTTGAGAAATACTTTTAAAGCATAAAAATATTTCGTAGAAAGAGTTTTAAAAGTTATGGAATCCAAGATTAAAATCCTTTTTAGTTCTTTAAAGATTCTTGTTTTAGTATCGATACTAGTTCTTAATAAGTTTAAGTGAATTAAGACATTATCTTGGGAACAGTTCGAGAACTAGTTCTAAAAGAAATTCATTTAGTTTTTACTATTTTAAATTTCTTTTGAGCTTTTTTCAAACGCCAAGAACTAGTTCTAGAGACAAAGAACTGGTTCCTTGGAAACACTTTAGAAGTGCTTTTGAAGCACAACATAAAGTAACGCGGTAGTAGTTTTAGAAGTTACGGATAAATTAGTGCTGATAAGATAACAGTTAAAGAGTGAGAATTGCTTGCAAAAAGTTGAACCAAAGGTTTAGTTCCTTGAAAACTCTTGAGAAATACTCAATCGCCAAAAACTAGTTCTAACGCCAAAGAACTGGTTCTTTTAAAACTCTTTAGAAGTGCTTTTGAAGCACAACCAAGTAACGCGGAAGTAGTTTTAGAAGTTGTGGCTAAACTAGTGCTGCCATGGTTAGATTTTAAGAGTGTGAAACGCTTCCCAGAAGTTGAGTCAAAGAACTAGTTCCTTGAAAACTCTTGAGAAATACTCAATCGCCAAGAACTAGTTCTAAAGCCAAAGAACTGGTTCTTTTAAAAACTCTTTAGAAGTTTTTTTGAAGCATAAGTATATTTCGCAGAAAGAGTTTTAGAAGTTAGTTGCAGTTTATGAGTAAGAATCGCTTGCAAAAAGTTGTGGCAAAGATTTAGTTCCTTGAAAACTATTGAGAAATTCTTTAGAATTGCCTTACTGTTCCATAGAAGGAATTTTTAAAAGTTGTGGAGATATTAAAACTTCCTAGATAGCAGTTTAAGAATCTGAATTTGTTGTTCTTTTGCTGTCTAAGAATGTGAAATTTATTGTTCTGAAATTAGAAGAAATTTTGAGAAAATTTCATTCAAATAAGAAAAAATTTTGAAAATTAAAAAAAAAAAATTCAAAATTTTAAGAAAAAATTTCAAAATTTTAAGAAAAAATTAAAAATTAAATTGAAAAAAATTTAACATTTTCTAAGTTTTCCGAAAACAAAAATAATTTTGAAAACAAAAAATTTTCAAAAATTAAAAAAAAATAAGAAAAAATTTTCAAAATTCAAAAAAAATTCTTAAAAATGAAAAAAAAAATCCAAAATTTTGAAAACATAATTTTTTCAAAGTGCAAATTATCAAAATTTTGTTAAATTTTAAACTTGCAACTAAATTTCGTAAATAAAAAAACAACACAAGATTTAAATTTTTTTAATAAAATTTTTCTTTAAAAATATATATTTTTCTCAGCAACAATTCAAATAAACCACAATTTTTCTAAAAAACGTATTTGTTTAATACAAAAATAAGGAAAATGAAAAACAATATTTTTTTTTTAAATTTCAAGCAAAAACAATTATTATTTTTTTCATAAAAAATTATAATAATAATAATAAAACTTAAAGTTAATTTTGATTTGTTTTACGATTTTTTACTAAAAGTAATAATAATAAAAAAATAAACAATTTAGGTTTTTTAAAAAAATTTTCTTAAAGAATTTTCATTTTGATTATGGAGTTTGTTCTAAAAAAAAACTAATTAATAATAAAAATAATTGTTAAAAATATTAAAAAAAAATTAAAACTAAAACTAAATTATAAGCAAGTCCATGTTTTTTTAAGGTTATGTGCAATTAGTTTTTTTTTTAAGGTTAAGTAAATATTCAAAAACTTTTTGAATAAAATTTTAAAGGTTGGGGTAATATATACAATTTTAAAAAATTATTTACAATTTAAAAACTTAACCTTAAAATAAAATTTACAATTTTTTGTTTAGAAAAAAATAATAAAAATAAAAATTAAAATTAAAATATTTAAAAATAAAAAAACTTAAATGTAAATTAAAATATAAAAAAAGTATGGCACCCTGGTTTTTAAGAGCGTTTTGTACAATTTTGTTATAATTATGTGCAATTTTGGTTTTAAACTTACGTTTCTAAGTAGAGTTAGAGTGAAAGAGAGAGATAGAGAGAGAGAGTTTGGGTAGTTGTGAGAAATTAATGTTGTACTAGGGAGTTGTAGTTGTTGTTAGAGTCATTCCTGTAGAACAAAATTTTAAAAATTTTGTTTTTTTGTTTTTGGTGGAAAACATATTTGTTCCATTTGATGGAGAGCAAATTGTTTTTATATACAATCTTTGGACTAAGTAAACACATACTTTGGGGAGTTTTTTAAGTTCAAAATTCCCCTAAAATTTACTGCAAACGTTGTTGTTGCTGTTGTCTCATATACATACTGGCGGCATCATCTAATTCATCCAAATCCAAATCATCATGCATCATTAGCATATTAGGTTCAGGGCTTTGAGCAGCCGATGAGGGATTAGAGCTAACGAATTCTTGTCTAGGTGAATGCATGCTCAAATCCTCGGGTTCAGTTTGTTCGGGCATATCACTGGGTACATGCACGATTTGTGGAGGAGGCAAACGGAAAACACGTCTAATATCATTTGCCTTACGATAGCGCAACGAACAGCTTTCATCAGTTTGACTGCCACCATCTTCGGACAGGTCCAAAGGAGCATCTTCTTCCATTTGTGTAATACCCGCATAATTCATAATGGAATGATTAAGCATAGGTTTGCCAATTTCCATGGATTCTTCGGAACCATAGAAGGACTTTTGATCACAATTCAAAATGCTGTAATCATTGCTCATGGCTGGTGAGAGAGCGGGTGTAATGGGTGATTGTACACCACATTTGTGGTTCATCAAATGATGACGACGTCTGAATTTCATGTGGCATTTTTCACATTCAAACGGTTTCTCGCCATTGTGCACCAACATATGCGATTTCAATTGATTGGAGTCACTGAATTTGCCATCACAAATCTCACAGGTATAGGGACGTTCGCCGGTATGTACCCTCAAGTGACGTCTTAGATTGGCTACTTGCACAAACTGGCGATCACAGTGGGAACAGTGATAGGGCTTCTCGCCGGTATGTAAACGCATATGGGTTTTCAAATGATGATCACGGGTAAAACGTTTATGGCATTCTGGACATTCGAAGGGTTTCTCACCGGTATGGGTGCGTTCATGATTTTGCAAAACATGCTTATAGCCAAAAGAACGAGAGCAAATTTTACAGGTGAAACTTTTGTCACGAGCAGCTGTATCTTTATTGTTGGCATTGGTGGCTGGACTGGAGACATCATGTGTGGAGGAGTTGGGTGAAGAGCCCGAGGAGGGAGGTGATATGGGTCCAGGGGTATTATATAAATCACTAACACTCATAGAGATTTCCATGCTGGGCGATATAAGATCCTTTTTCACCGTTAATTTGCGAGCCTTTTTGGCCGGCAATTCTCCTTGTGTCGAGGCAGTGGGTGAAGTCATGCTTAGACTGTGTTTATGGGCCTGAGGTGTATTGATATTAATGGGTGAGTGAGGAGAAGCGGGCGGTGAATGAGGAGCAGCATTGGCTAGATTAATGCCAGCCGGATTACCAGCTGCCCAGGAACCAAACAAAGAAGCTGGATGATGAGGAAATAAGGTGGAAGCCAAGGTAGACATGGGTAATTGAGCCATAAAGGCAGCTGCTGCCTGGCGATTGGCAGCCAACAATTGTGTGGGTGAAAGCATGCCAAAGGCAGAGGCAGCAGCAGCTTGTTGTAGTCCCGGATACATGGCGGTATTTGTGGCAGAGGTATTGGCAGACATGGGTGGTGATAGTGATAAAGAACGATCAACTTCTTCGCGTTGTTGCATGCCAGCTAAAGCGGCGGCCAAAGCTAAAAGTAAGCAAAATAGAAAAAAGGACGAGATAAGTAAAGTTGAAGGACTAAAAGCAGCCAAATAAAAACTTTTTAAAAAAAATTTATAAATTTTTTAAAAGTTTTAGGTTTTTTTTTGGAAATTTCTGTACTTACTTCTGGTTTGTGCGTCTTGTAGCAAAGATATGGCCATATCCTGTTTACAACTGTTTTATTTTAAGTTTTTATTTAGAAATTTTTTCAAAATTTCGTGTTAAACACACGAAATTTTTTTGCTTTCTTTAAACAGCTTTTAAATCCAAATTTCGTTAGTTGTTTAAGTGTATATGTTGTTATTAATCCTTTAAGTTGAGGTTTTGTACTTTTAGTTGTTGTTGGTTTTTTTTTATAAATTTCCTTTTTTTTTGAGGTATAATTTTGTTAAGAGGTATTTCACGTTTTAAATTTACAAAATTCTTTAAGACACTTTTTTAAAAAAAATTTTCTTTTAAGACTGATGGATGTCTTTACTGGTTGAATTGTAAATTACAAATGATATGATATTTTTAAAAATCCTGTTAATTTATACACGGTTTTTAGTTGAAATAATATCCTTTTATGACTGAGTGTGTGTGTAGGGTTTTTTTATTTTTCATTTGAGTATATTAGAGGTAAAAAAATATCCTTTTAATTTGTTGTTTTTTTTTTTTTTTGAGTAAAAATTGTATAATTTTTGTTTGTTTTTATATAAAAATAATTACTTTTAAAAAACACTTTAAACTTATTTCTATATAAATTTCTTTTTTAAATAGTGGTTTTTGTTTGTTTTGTTATAATGTTATGTTTGTTGTTGTTATAATGTTTTTTTTTTTAATTTTTAATTCTTATATTTCTTGTTAGATGTTCTCTGTTAAAGAAGCAAATCACAACTGATACTTTCACTCTAAAAGTGCATGGTTTATGTACTCTAGTGACGTTCTATTTGCTCTTGACTGCTCAATTGTACTCATTGTTGTTGTTTCTTTCATATATCACTTATACACACACTGTAGAAGAAAAATCAACCCTCATAAACAACAAACCCTTGTTACTCTTTAACATACAACAACTACTCTTTCACTTAAACTCACTCACTCACTTGCTTGCTCTCTCTCTCTCTCTCTGTGGCCCCATAACAAAATCTCTTTTCTTATGTTTAACCAACAAACAGGTAGTTTTTCCTTTCTTTTTCACTCATTTCTTTCCTTTTTCTCTACCTACCCTTTTTTGTAGTTGTTGTTATATTATGTAAATTTACCTTTTTTTTTGCTCTCCGTGTCCTCGTTAATCTTAGCGGCTTTAGTATTACAAAAAACTAGAGTAGCCTGCTTTAATTTTTTTTATTACCACTCATAAACATTTTATACACACACACACACACACTCATACAGTTTTACATTCCTTTACTAAAAGTCAAAATATTGCTGGTTGTTGTTGTTGAGTGACACCTCACTAGGGGAAATTATGTAAATTTTCAAGAGTTTTATTTCTTGATTTTTGTTTAATATCAAAGAAAATTGGAGGTGTTTTGATTTGTGACTGTTAACAGGGTCTTGAAAGTGGAAATGTTAAAAAGGGCGGCCTTAGGAGTTAACTAAAGTAGAGAGGAAATGTTAGGAACGTAAGGAAATAGAAATTAAAGTAAGTTTTCAAACAAAAACAATACCGGAAAGTAGTATTACTTATAAACTAACTAGTTCCCGAATGGGTGCAAAGAGCACTAACTCAGTTTCATAAACAACAACTTTGGGAACTAAATAGTGTTAGAACCATTACTTCTGGTAACCTTTCTATAGAACATTATTATGATTAGCAAGTACTTCAAAGAGATTATCGGGAAGATTGTAAATATAACTTCTTTTACAGCAATCTAGGAACTAGTTTTTAGATCATTACTTCCCTCAACCATTCTAGGGAACATGGAGGTTCATTACTTCCCGTTTCACAAACTTTGGAACTAGTGTTAAGGGCACTGGATAACCTTTCTATAGAACATTATTATGATTAGCAAGTACTTCAAAGAGATTACCAGGAAGATTGTAAACAGAACTTCTTTTACAGCAATGTAGGAACTAGTTTTTAGACCATTTCTTCCCGCAAACATTCTAGGGAACATGGCGGATCATTACTTCCGTCAATCATTCTAGGAAACATTGTTGAAAAGGACTACAAGGAAAGGTGCCAATAGAACTTCTACAGCTTCTTTTAAAGCAAGCTTAGAACTAGTTTTTAGACCATTACTTTCCGAAGCAATTCTAGGGAACATTGTGCAAAAGGATTACAAAGAAGAGTCCCAATAGAACTTCTTCAAAAGGGATTACAAAGAAGGGTGCGAAAAGAACTTCTACAGAACTTCTGCTTTACAGCAACCTTGGAACTAGTTTTTAGATTATAACTTCCGGCTCACATTCTAGGAAGGGATTACAAAGAAGGATGTCAATAGAACTTCTACCGCTTCCTTTAAAGCAATCTTGAACCTAGTTTTTAGACCATTATTTCCTTCAACCATCCTAGGAAACATAGTAGAAAGGGAAAGGTACCAATAGAACTTTTATAGATTTCTTTACAGCAACCTTGGAACAAGTTTTTGATCAGTACTTCCTGCAACCATTCTAGGAAACATTGTAAAAAGGAAATACAAGGAAGGCTGCCAATAGAACTTCTACAGATTTCATTACAGCAACCTTGGAACAAGGTTTTAGATCATTACTTCCCGCAACCTTTCTAGGGGACATGGTGGAAAGGGATTACATAGAAGGCTGCAAATAGAACTTCTACAGAATTGTTTTAACCAATCTTGGAACTAGGCAGCTATTCCAGCGAACATTTGGTACTAGAATGAAACGCATACAAGTTCCCAAACTACTTCTAAGGAAGTAGCATGGGTTTTCGTTGAAATTCTTCGAAATTAACTAGTTCTAGAATGGATGCAAAAAGAACTTCTACAGATTGTGGTACAGTAACTTTGGAACTTTGGTGTTAAGGTCATAACTTCTTTCAATCATTCGGTAAAACATTGTTGTGCTAATAAAGTACAGCTAAAGAGTTTCGAGGCAGTGGAACACTTGCAAGTTCCGAAACAACTTCTAAGAAAGCGATTGAAAAGAACTGAAAAGAAAATTTCAAGAAATTCTTCTAAATTAACTAGTTCTAGAATGGATACAAAGAGAAACTTTTACAGATTCCTGTACAGCAACCTTGGAACTAGTATTAACGCCATAACTTTTGGCTCCCACTTTGTGGAACATTGTTTTGATGATAAAGTACAGCTAAATAGTTTTCAGGGCTCTCGTTATTTGACAATTTTGAAATCTTTCTTTTGATCGTTCCATTTGATCGAGTGCAAATTGTCTTGGACTTTTGCTGCAGATTAGTCCGGTAAAGAATTTCTCAAGGAATTTACTTCATTCCTTAACCACATCATCTAATTCATTCAAACTTGAACCCCAAAGCGTCAAGCATCATTAGTCTATTAGGTTTAGGACTTTGGGTAGTCGAAGAAGGCGCAAATACCAGACTGGACGAACGAATACTTGCTCATATTCGCAGATTTAGTTTATGCTAGCATTTCACTGAATATATGCATGATTTAACCCACTGATTTCATTTGCCAAAGAAGTAGCGAAATGCCGACATAATTCACGATGGAGTTGTATGGTTCTAAGGAACCCTTGGATATTGCTAAACCTTTGTTGAAAGGAATACATATCTGATATCTCAAAGTAGAGATCAGCTTTTAACGGTTTGACTGTCATAATCTTTAGAAAGTTCCAAAGCAGCATCTTCTTTCATTTGCTTCAAATGCCGACGTAATTCATAAAGGAACGGTCCAACAAAGATTTGTCATTCGGAGTGGTATCCTTAGAACCATAGAAGAATTTTTCGTAGCAGAATGATTACGAGTCATTCGAAATTTTGGTTTCGGGAATTAGAGCAACAGGTGAAGGATTACTGCAATTGATTTGATTTCTGTCTGGGTCAAAACATGGTCAAATTATAGACTTCAGTTTGTTCTGGCATATCATTGGGTACATGTGAAGGAGACAAATGGAAAATACGTCAGTTTGACAATTATTATATTCGGAAAGACTCAAAGAAGTACATTTCTCCACTTGTGAAATGTTGGCATAATTCATGATAGAGTGATTTTCTCGAAACTATAGAAGGATTTCAGGTCGCAATTCAAAATGTAAGTACTGCAGTCATTGCTTAAGGCTGGTAAGGGAGCAGCTATTATCGGTTTGACTATCTCCATAGAGATCCAAAGGATCATCTTCCATTTGCGAAATGTCGTCTTAAATCATAATGGAGTGATTCAACAAATGTTTGAAACATTTTCATGAATTCCTCGGAAGTAATCTGGTCACAATTCAGAAAATTCATCAGAAAATTTCCCTAGACTTTGTTCTGAAAATGATAAATTCAAACTAAAATCATTGATTAAAGATCTAGTTTTATAACTATCGATTCATAGAACGAGTGTAAACGTTTCCATTGAACCAGTTCTGCAATTGAATTGGGAACTAGTTCTAGAATCGCTTTATATAATGAGTATTAATTTCATAATGTTTCCGTAGAATCTGGTCCACAATTGAAGAGAGAACTAGTTGTAGTTCTTGCCTTATAACGTGAGTCAACTTCATAATGTTTTCATAGAACCTCTTCTCCAAAAGAACTAATTCTAGAATCGCAGCATAGAACGTAAGTCGACTTCCTAAAGTTTACATAGAATCAGTTGCGCAATGGAATATTAATATCATTTGTCATACTAAAGCTTCCCTAGTACTAGTTCTGAATGGGACAAATTCGATTACACATCATTGATTAAAGAAATAGTTCCTCAATAGCTCGATTGTCTATTGTCCTCAATAGCTTTGTTGTCGATTGTCAACTCCATGAAGATTCCACGGTTACAGTTTCTTAGTTGATCATTTTTAACAATATTAAACCTATTAGTTCCCTAGTACTAGTTCTGAATGGGACAAATTCGATTACAAATCATTGATTAAAGAACTAGTTCCTCAATAGCTCTATTGTCTATTGTCCTCAATAGTTTTGTTGTCGATTGTCAACTCCATAAAGATTCCACGGCTCCAGTTTCTTAGTTGATCATTCTTAACAACATTAAACTCATTACTTTCTCTTAACATTCCCTAGAGAAAGTTTCGAAGGCGACAAATTCGTTCCGTAACGTTCTACAAAATGACTTTTCAAAGAATAATTTTTAAACATTTCCATATAAAACCCCCCCTTAAAAATTAACGTTTCCCCAAAGTTTTCTTCAAATTACTCAACTTCTCCTTTCACTTAACAAGTCCCTTTCAATTTCCTCTCTAATTTAAATTTGTTAATTAAACCTTTCTTCCTCTTTAAAACATTTACTTCCTTCCCCTTTTTTTTTTTTGTCCTTAAAAGAAAAACACTCAAAATATTTCCCCTTAATTTACATAACAAGTCTATATACAAACAAAAGGCCCCTTATCAGCTTTAATATAGCGCAACCCTGTAACATAGGCTTTTATAAAACATTCATTGATATTTACTTCCGTTACTCATACATTTACTCTACTCTACCTCTTGGTAGTGTTAAAAAAACTCTCTCTCAAATATTTTTTTAAGCAGTTCCTTTATATGAATTTTCTTATAAAATAAATAAATAAAAAGCGCATACTCCGCTCTTTAATATGAAGGAGAACAACAAAAACAACATCAACTGGTTATTTATATACTTTTTCTTAAAGAATTGTTGTTGTTTTTTGGCTTAAAAACAAAAACATTTGATGAGTATCGGCTCCCTTTTGTTTTTTTTTTTCTTTTTTCAACATTCATCCCCCTTTTTTTGTAACAAGAAAAAAAGAGCTCGTGTGAGGAAAGAGTG